TATATGATATTAATCGCAAGATTTCCGTGTTATATCGAAAGCGACGATCGGCTCACCTCCTTGGTATCTTCTCTCTTTACCATAACATTATCCGGCCCGTCCTGGACCACCTGTTTCGACGGTGCTGATCGTGATTTCCTTACCTAAAGTAGTGTGACAAATGAGAGTGCAAAAGAGAATTTCACATTTGTTCACTCTTTTATCATTTGAATGTCGCTACGCTACCGTCTGCTGTACATACAACTACAAGGCGCCTTTGTATAAAGAAGACGTTTATAAGCGTTTATGTGCGTGTTTGTATGCAGGTGTGTACGTTTTATTTGACATAAAGCATTCCATGCCACTAGTGGGTTAGTTAACGAAGGGATACCTGAATAATAAATTCGACGTCGTTTTCCGAAGTGCCACTCTTACTGTTGCTTATCACATTTTTTATTTGAAGCTTCGCCGGTTTTCTAACATCTGCATCGCCACGTGGATTTATGCAACCGTAAATTAGGGTGATTTAAGAAAAAAAAAAAAAAAAAAAGAAGAAGATCTGACATTAATTACTAATTTCAATATTAATTTGACATTTAATCTGTCTCAGTACTTCACTTTTATTACTTTCTAATTTAGGAGCGTCTTCTGGATTCTTATCTATAGCGGAAAGATCCATCAGCGATGTCCATCCAGCTGACGTCGGCGGTTGCAAATGATCATTCTTGGTTTCGTCTTTCGCCAAATTCGTAGCGGAAGACCATATCCTTTTGTTCTCGGATCCGCTTTCAAAATTCATTCGCAACAACAATCAATTTTTCTATAATACTCACAGTTCTTCAAAGCAATTAACGTATCATTATTGCTATATTATTATGCAGATATTTTGTTAACTTATGCTAACAGTAAAGGCGCGTTATAATAATTGACATTTTTAGGCAATTTATAATTAGTAGGCGAAAGGATTCTACCTACCGTGTAGAATCTGAGGAAAGACTTGGGGACGAAGACGTGATGTCTCCGAGACTGTTTCTTCTGCCGCCATGCTCTTTGTAATCTCTGAAGAGATATTATTATTAATTCGAAATGCGCATTTTGTATTGTACCTTCTGCTTTAAGTAATTACCTAAAACATCGTTTGCAACGCGTTGGCCACCGAACCTGCGGGTGGAAACCCAAAGGGCAAAGAGGATCACCTTTTTTAGACGAATACATGGAGTGCATCCTGTGTGCAAGTTATTGTTTTCCAGTTATATTTTCTTATAGTACCTCGAAATAAAACAAATTTATATAAAGTAATATAGTATAATTGAAAAAGACAGATCCAATTGTTCGTTCTAAACGGAAATAATATTTACATTGATTTTTTAAAGTTCTCAAAACAGCTAATATAAATATTGCCATTTAAAAATATTACCGATAATATATATAATATTTCCAATTCTAAATATATTTGTTGATATTATTTAATTTAAAGAGAGAAACTCATGTAAAAAGAAGCACGAAAAGATTTACATAAAGATTACAGATAAAAGTGAAATCACGTTTTAACTTTGCGAAATCTTTTCAAATTTGTGATTATACATTTCCGTAATTTATTTTTTTCTTAGTTGCATTGCACGATATTGCTGATATACTTTATACAACATGGGATAATGATGGTATTTTTCACTTTTCATAAATACGAAAAAAGAAAAAAGCAGATAATTTGATAGGAAAATTTAAAACCAATCAGTGCAAAATACACTTGTCTGGAATAAGGAACCTGCATTTCATTAAATTATCTGTTAAAAAGTTATTGGCCAATTTTTATAATTTTATATCTATCGATGAATTTATCATTATCGGTGAATTTAAAGAAGCTCGCAAAACTATAAAAAAAAACCTATGCATATTTAATCACTTAATTTCAAGTTGACTCGTCTTTTGAAAAAAAAATTCCTAATTGCAGTGGAAAAAAATTATAACCAGTATAATACATTTCAGGGCGCCTTCACTTATGCTGTCAATAACATCGAAGTCGCTGTTTAAATTCCCCCCCGAATCATCTGATCGTGAAATCTGTAAGGAACATTTAACAATTCACACGAAGCCAAAAAATAGAAAGAAAAGTACAATAAAACTTGTTTAAGAAGTTGATTTCTATCAGTGAATTTGTCGCCAGCGAACATTCGCGAGCTGCATTGTCGTCTTTATTATACATATTTCTGACAATACGCAGCACGCACACATACATACGCACACACGCGTAACAAGCATGGCACTTGGAGAATTATGCGCACCGGCGCGGTGCGGCGGTTTATTTATAAAATTTCAATGCCACGCTGTCTCTTCCCCTTTTTTTTCACCCATCTTTTGCCTACGTCAAAACGGGAATCAGAGAAGCCCGGAAGAAACGTAGGGGATAGACTTATTCGCGTTCTCCATTTGATCGCGATCTATCTCTCGACGATCTATCTCTCGACGATCTATCTCTTACGCAATCTGTCGCGTAGGTTTTTATATCATGCCTGCTACTCACTCAATCGGCACCGATATCAATCCAAATCACGGCGGGCCGACGTGAATTAAATTTATCCTAGGCTGTTGCCGGTCGGTCAATCGGTCGGTCGTCGCTCGGTCAGAAACGGGCGTTCGTCGTCGCGGCGCTCGTCGTCTCTTCCATTCTGAATGAATACGGTAATCGCATCGTAATCGCGTAATCGAATAACACTCGCATCGTAAAGAGGGGAGGGAGGGAGGGAGGGGGGGTAGTTCCTCGCGATCTCGTCTTTCCCCGGAAGTCGGTTCGCCTCTATAGTATCTATCCGCGAATCTCGCTCATTTTTTTCCTATCTTTTCCTCTTCTCTTCTTACACGCGTCCGCGTTTCGAGATTCCTACGCTGCGCGCGACGTCACTAATAGCACTGACACAGCTCCGCTATTACGGGGTTTGTCCGTTTTCCCCGTAGACTGTGTGCGGGTATACGGGCGATTGGACCTACGCCAAGGTGTATATTTGTCTCTAGCTATAAATATAGGGAAGCGCGAAGACATCTTGAGCGCGCGTTGCACGCGCGAGGCGAAGTAGCTTCGTCTTCATTCATTTTTTGCCGCAAATGCGCGAACGGAAGTAAAACGCGCGATTCGAGCTTAAAAAATTACTGTATCCGCATCTTTCATTTTGACATCATAAAATGTCGTCACAGTGGATATTCCCTCAAAGCTTTATATTTCGAACGTCTTCGTCTGGAATGCGATTTATATCAGCGACAGATTTGTATTATATTTATGCGTTTTTTTTTTTCATTTTGTGGATGTGCAAAAAATTAAGGTGCTACTAAAACCTAACTAGTTAATATATTAATCTTAAGAAAGATTATTTAATCACAAGCTATGGTGAATAAAATAAATATTCATGATAAATATGCGGAATGCGAGAGACGTATAGCGAAAAAGATAGAAATATGTATTATAAAATTGACAGGGGGAGGTATTAAAAAAAAAGGATTAATTATTTTTATTAACTTTTATTAATACACCAAACATTTCACCCATCTCCGTGACACAGTATAAAATTGTATAAACGTAGTATATATGTTTATATTTATGTATATAATACATTTATAATACATCATAAGCGATTAACTTGTCGAATGCAATATTTTAATTTTGCATTATCTTGTCAAGTTATCTACCCTACCTTGTCAAATGATTTACTCCTATTAATCATTAAAGATACTTGAAACGCATGCACAGTATTAGAATTTAACTTCTTTCCAAGAAAATAATTCGAAGTCTTTATATTTATGCTCATATGTTGCCTAATATTTTCATAGAAAAATGTAATTGTAAATATCAAGCTTTTATATATTTTTCCCCATTTTCATATAAAAATCTATCAGTTCCTGTATCAATTCCATATAAAAAAACGTTCCTTTGTTTTTTTATAACTCTAATAACAAGAATCCTTAACATGATTATAGAATGTCTAGTAAAAAGGATAATTTCCTCAATGAAGAATGAAGATAAATTACTTACTTCATTTTAATATATAGCTTGAATTTTTGGAATAATTAATTTTTATATCTGTTATTTTTATTTACAGTATAACTGTTATGCATTTATTATATCTTTTTATAAAAATATTTAAATTAATAAAAAAAATTTTCATCTATTGATATTTCCACAATTCTTTATATATATATAA